GTTACTTTCATCTTACACATAGATATGAAGTATTTAATACGTGCTATGTGTGCAAATTATATGTGTTCTTCATATCTATGCTGGATGAACAATTTTATACATGTTTTAATGATTTAAGTTGTATAAGTATGTTATATCTACAAATGTGTTGGGTGAAACATGGGTAGATTAATGATGGGAAATGAAAGATGATATAAGTAAACATTAGCAACTATGGATTTAGTGCTTTACGGACGAGCATTGACAGCTATGGACTTAGTGCCTAATAAATAACGTCGGTAGCTATGGACTTAGTACCTATTAGATAAACGTTGGTAGCTATGGACTTAGTGCTCGATAAATGAACTTTAGCAGCTATGTATTTAGTGCTTTATGAATGGACATTAGCAGCTATGGACTTAGTGCCTGTCATATAAACCCTGGAAGAAACAGACTTCGAAAGGAATGAATGCAGGATAGATGATACTTAGGGTAGACCCTTAAGAATAAAGAAGATAATGGGAATGGGTAATTGGGTTAATTGTTTGATGATTAAACACAATAATTATATTATTGTGGGTTGAAAACCCTATGTACTCACCAGGTTTCCCAACCTGACCCACTCAAGTTTATTGTATCACAGGTATCGATATGAAGTTACATTACACTGAGAGATTAAGGAGATGTAAATCACTAGTGTAAAAGAACGTAAGGTCTGTTTATGCTTATGTTTCTATATTGAAGATGACATCCCAATGTTTTAAAATGAATAAAATATATTTCTTCGGAAATGCATTGATAACGTATTTATCATGTTTTTCTGGGAACAAATTCCGTAACATTTTTCTTTAAAAGGTTACTCTGATTTTCAAACAAAGCATAAACAAATCGGTCTTTTCTGGCCGTGAAAATGGGGATGTCACATCGTGCCCCCTGCCACACTTGCCGCAGTGGCCTCGGCCCTACTGGCCCTTCTCCCAGGAATCTACCTTGGGCTTTTTGCTTGAGCCCTCCACGCCAGACACCGAATCTGGCTTCCTCTTCTTCTCCATCTCTAAATCAATCTCTCTCTCAAGAGACATAGTAATCATATCCTCCAGCGTCTTGCAGCTGGAGCGGCTCACAAACTGGCGGATATCACTCCGCAACATCTCATGATACCGAGCCTTCTTCATCTCCTCGTCTGCCACGTACTGCGGAACGAGAAGGGCCCTCTCCCTAAACTTGGCGGTGATCTCCGCCACAGTCTCTGTTGTCTGCTCAAGATCCTGGAACTCCCTAGCTAGCTGTTGCACCTCAATAACAGGTACAAACTCGACCCTAAACCTGGCCGAAAAATCACTCCAGGTCATCACAACTAAAACCGCATCATCCCTAATGGCTCGTCCGACCTCCTCCCACCAATCACATGCCCTGTCCTTCAGAAGACAGGATGCAAGTCGAACCTTGTCCCCCTCAGGACATTTGCTGGTGCGGAATGCGCAGGCGACATCTGCCAACCATCTGGTACTCGCAATGGGGTCCCGAGCCCCATGGTAATCGGGAGCTCCACAAGCCCTGAACTCCCTGAATGACAGTGTGCGCGCCCCTAGCATGGCCACCATCTCGGTGCAGAATGCACCCAACCTCTCATCAAGTATCTCCAAGTTGCCCTCCTTGACCGATCCAAAGATCACAAGAGTCTAGTCTAGAATGTTGCGTGTGATCTCAGACGAGATGAACTCTCTCGTCTACTCATCCAGCTGTCCGGCCCCAGAGCCCGAGACTGATCCCTCACCAGTACCTGAAGTGCCTGTTGGCCTAGTGCGTAGCGTCACCATACTGAAAATACACCATAACAAACATCAGTATACTCATCATATCTCGAGGGATCTCACATACTACAATTTTCCTGGATTCATCTCAGCCTTCCTTGATTCGAGTACGGATCATTTGCTTTCAGTATTACAAGCCCATACTACCTTCCACATCTATCCATACTTTCCTCAAGAACTGCCTTAACTCCACCAAGTCCCTTCTAAACTACTGTTGATCTCATGCTAATCTCATCCTAGGATTGCCCTAGGGTAATCACCAACCCACTCTCCGCTATCATCTGCATAAGAAGTCCCTGCTATCTCCCCCTAACTAGCTTGCGAATACTATTACATATCACTAAGAATAGATAATTCTTCGAATGAGAGATCCTATCCTACAACGGTTGGACTCAAACAAGAGCTGTGAAATAGAGCTAGACCTAACCTTCTGAAATTATTTAATCCTTGCAATATGTAACTTAACATATTCGTTTACTAGTTAGTAAAAGATAACTAAGAATCCTAAAAGCACAAAGCAAGCAGCATTCGAGCATCGAGGAAACATAATCAAGAATATCCTAATTAGGCCATCATATCACTGACTCATTTGTACTAGCATGCAGT